TGAAACAAGTGTTTGAACCGCACTGCTTAGGTACAGAACAGAGTGCCTAGATCTCCCAGTATTCAAATCCCTTCCTGTAAAGTTTTCCTGCAGAATTTGAAAGCTTACACAAAAGCATGCGCTAGCAGAGCAAAAAGCTTTTTTGTTTTGGGGTGTTTTGTTGAATTTAAATTTTCAGTTAACTCACTACAAATAATTAAGCCCTAGAATGGAAGAAAGTGAATTACACATACCCTCTGATCTCTCTCTCATGCTCTGGGCATCTGGCAGTCCACCTTAGCAATTATTTTGGCACAATAGAATCAAACCTGGCGAACAAGGCAGTCTGTGCTGAGGATATGAAATCCACTCCTATATGTTTGAGGGTGTTTACTGTGGACTACCTCTAATCTGGTCCTGCAGACCAAATGTTCATTCATGGCTCTAATGCATCTTCTAGCTTAGCTTCAAAAGAATCCAAGTTTGTGTGCTCCAAGACTGCTCTGCAACAGAAATCAAAACTTAGCAAGTGGAAAAAAACTGTGATTCACTCCAAAAGCCAGCATTTTATTCAACCTAAAATGCAGAAGTAGGTCCAGTCCCCCAATTTCCCTATTTCAATGGACCAGAATTACATGCTTGCTATGAGGAACTGACATAGCAAGATATGTGTGACTCATTAGATTATGATATGGTTTCTAAAATTCCAGACTAAAGCAAGAGATTGAGAAACAGATTGATGGATTAATAGATCACATAACTGCAAACTCGCCCATTTTGTAGTCAGTGAAATTCCCCTACTTATAAGTTACAAAGCCAATTTATCAGCACAAAACAAAACTTTGTACTTTTCAGGACAGAAAGTAAACAGTGTATTTGCTAGAAACAACAGCTTTTACAAAGGTAGAATTTAATTTCTGATCTAATTCACTGGCTTAAGAAGGTCAAGGGGGAGGACAAGGAAACAATAGGCCAGGCAGCCTAACCTTAACCCTGGGAAGGTTGTACAGCCAACTCCCCTGGGAGCTTCATGAAAGACAAGGGTACTAGGAGGAGGCAGCATGATTTTACCACAGGCGAATCATGCCTGACCAACCTAACTGCCTTCTACAGCAAGATGGCTGACCCTACGGACACAGGAACAGCAGTAGATGTTGCGTATCTTGATTTTTAGCAAGGCCTTTGACAACTTTCCCACAGTATCCAGGCACATTAGTGATATATAGTTTCCACAAGTGGAACATTGACTAGGTGAAAAACTAGCTGGTACACCGGACTCAAATTGCTGTGATCGCAGTATGAAGTCCAGCTAGTGGTGAAGTACCAGTAGCATTCATGAGGGGGTCAGTACCGAAGTCAACACTCTTTAATGTTTTTATTACTGACCTGGACAACAGGAAGGAAAGTCACTCACAACAAGCTCACAGATTTTAGAAAATTGCAGAAATAAATTACATACTGGAGGGCATGACTGCCAGAGGGACCTCAGCAGGCTAAGAAAAAGGTTGACAGGAATCTCATTAAGTTCCAAGGCAAATGCAAAGTCCATTACACAGGATGGAATAATCCCATACAACAGCAGCGTGGGGGCTGACTACATAGAACACAACTCTGCGGAAAACAAAAAGATGGTCCCACTAGACCATCATGAAACAGCAGCACAACCTTGCAGCAAAGGCAAACTGCATATTAGGCTGCATCAGTAAGCATACAGCCAGCAGGTAAGGGAAGTGATGATTCCCCTGTAATTTATACTTATGAGACTGTGTCTGCATTAGTGTATCCAGTACAAGAAACTACTGACATACTGTAGTGAGCCAAACTGGGAGCCATCATTCACACATGACATACAAGGAGAAACAGAAAGAACTGGGTTTTATCAGCCTTAGAAGGATAAGGGCAGAATCTTCCTGTTGTTTTCCATGAGACAGTGGTGAAAACAGACTCTTCTTAGAAAGGCACAGTAACAGGATTAGGCTACGTAATGCACACAAGTTACAGCAAAGGAAATTCCAATTAGATATTAAAAAAAATTATTCACAATGGTAAGAACACTGGAATAGGGGAACAGAAAGGCTGTGGAATCGCCATCCAGGACATATCAAATCAAAGCCTGGAGCAATCTGATCAAACTGAATCTGTTTGCAGCAGGGGGCTGGACAAAGTTATCTCTAGAGGATCCTTCCAAACTAACATCCTCTGTAACTTTAGTAGTCCAACAACTTATATTAAAAACAAAGATCTAAGGTGTCTCACGGCCATGGACACACACTGCAAACTGGAAAAGTTCCTCCAGCTGAACAGAGATTAGTGTTCTCCACCCTCTCCTTTCGTTCTTGCTGCACTGCTTTGCCATGATCTGATCAGAACAGATTTTCATAGCCTGCTTGAGGCAGGCTAGAATAAATATCTCTTGGGTGATAAAAAGCAGATGGAGATAGGGTAGAGAGTAAAATCTTCACACTAGCAGTCAGATCCACAAAAGGACATAGGTTATGGCTTTACCATTTGTCAGACTACAAATCCATATACTGTGGGTATGTGCCTCCCAGGTGGGCTGCTCAATCAAAAGGGAAGAGAGGTTACCTCATGAATGAATGCCAGGCTGCAGCCTCTGAAAGAGACTTCCAAGTCTCAGCGTGATCAAAGCTTGAAGAAAACATGACAGTTGCATGTCAGACTTGTGCAATGATACAACTGAACAGACTCAGATGGCTAAAATTACTCATTTATCATACACTTTGAAGGTAGAAACTGAAATCATGACAACAATCAACTTGGCCACCTTGTAGAACTAAGTAACTAAGAAATGAAGCAAACTTATATGGCATCAGGCTCAAAGGGATAGGATTCATCTTGCAGCTCAGCCAATGGAAAATGGAGTACTCAGCCAAGTTAGTTCTTACAGCTTTTTTTTCTTTTTTTTTTTCCCCCCCCTCCCCAAGTCAAAAAGGCAACACATTGGGATCAACTGTTTCAGTGTCTAACCCTCTTCATTTACTAGAAGAGCTCATAGTGAAGTTGCTAAGGTCAGGTGATGTCAGTCATACCTCAAATGAGTATTTTAAAGAATGCTTCAAATTTAAAAAAGAAATATGCGTATTTCACTATGGTTCCTTTTCACTACATTCTTCAATCTCAACATCCTTTGGTGGCATTTTGATCTTCTAACTCCCAGAAAGCATCTCAGACCACTTACCAACTCAGGAAAAACACAACAGCAGAGAAAAGAGACAGTGATCAATAAAGAAAAATAATCAACTTTTTATTAGCACTTCAACTATTACCTGGTGTTCCATGGTAAAGCACAGTTTTAAAGATAACACTGGTACCTCTGATCCAACATAATAGTATGGGGTTTTTTCCAAATACAAAGGAAAAGCTAAATCTTATATTAGCTACTTGTAAGCAGAACATGTTGCATACCGCAGTTAGATACTTCAAGTTTGACAAGACAAAAATTAATACTTTCAGATGTTAAATGCCTCCAAATCCCTTTTTTTGCTGAGCTGGAAGGCAGAGAGATAGAGGATTATTTCCTTGTCTTTCCCCTTCTCCCATTTACCTCCTATTTTATGCGGAACTAAAAGAAAAGTTGAGTACAATGAAAACAAGAGGCCATACATGCTACATTCAAATATAGCTGCCGCGATATTTTAAATTAAAATTTACTTAAAAGTCTTTTCCTGCAGTGTACAACATATTAATGCTTACATGATAATTTTTATTTAAAATTATATAAAAGAGATTTGCAAAAAGGGTAGCTTCTTTCATCAATTGTTACATTTCTTAATGCATTACCTGTTCAAAGACTGTGTTTTAAGTGATCCTCACATAAAAACAGAGGTAGCCAAGTAGAAATACTATATTTTATGAGGTCTCTATACACGGTGTAATAAAAAAATGTTTGTTCTATCAATCAAGATGGATTAATGTCAAGACTTACTTCATAATAGTTTATCTTCCCCAGATATGAATGCTTTCTAACACAAGTACAGCCATTTCTATTTAGCCTTTGTCACCATGGACAGTTGCTACATCATTATGGAAACATGATAAATTCATTAGGCAAGGCAAATATTTGAGTTCCACTCAAGTACACTTAACATAATAAAAACAAAACAGCAATCTATGTCATAATTTAATTTAATTCTTTGCTGAACTTAGGGGGATTTAACAGTGCTTTTAATTATATTAGGGAGAAGTCAAATAATCAAAACATTGGATTTTAAGTTTGGTATGTTTCTGTGCTGTCCAAACAATAGCTTATTTATTTAGAAAAATTCTAATAAACTCCAGCATCTTAAATATGTTCAAAAGTGCCCTTTCCAGCATCACAAAAATGTTACTTAAGAAAGCATCATTAGATTTTAAAGTAGCAAATACAGTCAAAAGTCTAAGTGAACATAAACTGAAACACTGTGGTCCAAATTCTGTGAACAGATCATATATCCAAGATGTTCTGCCTGTGCAGAACTGGACCATATTTTTCCTCAGACACTTAAAAAGGCAACAACTGGAAAAGATGGAGAATTTAGCAGCTGCTTAAAACAGTAAAGCAGTGCAAGTAAGTGTACATTTCCTTGTCAGGCTTGAAGATCACTTGGCAGGTCCCTGAAATTCTGTGTTTCGTTTTACATAATGTAAGTGCGCACTACAAAAAAGTGGAACTGTATTTTAAAGAAAAGTAGCTTTCCTAAAATGTTCCTGATTCACAGCATCCATACAATCCACAAAAGAAACAGTTCAATTTTTCTAGAGAGATGTAACAGAACATTGTATTTACAATCTCAAATCACGTAGGCATCTATTTGCATCTGCTTGCATATGTTTGTAATTTTGTTTTAAGTTTTGATGAAATAAGTAGTTGTTTTGTCCACACTGGCCAAAGAACAGCTTTGATGATAAGACAGAATACAATTTTGGCACAGTATTTTTTAGTGAATTTCCATGACAGAAGTACAGACAGTTAGGAGGAGGAAGCCAATAACTATTTAAACATGACCATGAGTTATTAGTTCCTGCTTCTAACAGCTCAATGTTAACCTTAAAAAGCACATTTTGGTTCTTTAATGCATTGCCTCATGGGAGATCTAGTTTGAAGGGCTACTGTGCCCATCCTTTCATAAAAGCCTACATCCCATGACTGAACTACATCTCCTAGGAGTCAATGCAGTCTTCTCCAAATGCCAGCTGCATTACAACAGCAAGAGATTCTTCTAATTCTTGTTTTCCATGACCTCTGTGACAAAAACTGTAGTCACAGTCATGAGTGGAATATAAATCAGTATTTAGCTTTGATACGATTCCCTGACTTTGGCCTGCAGGGCATCACATGTCTTCTTAGCATCTCCCAACAACATGGCAGTATTGGGTTTGTAGAAGATTGGATTGTCCACCGCTGCATAACCGACTCCCAAAGATCTCTTCATTACAATGACCTGCACATAAAGAGTTCATGTTTGAAACAGCAAAAACCAACCACCATCCCCCCTCAAACAAAGACAACATAAAACCAACGTCCACAAACGATGGGAGAGGAAGAGAGATCCCTGGCCAAAATAGGGGTGCTCACTGCTACAAAACTGTATTTCAAATTTTAATATAGCAAGCAAACCAATACCCAGACCAGTTTCAGAAACATTTTATTGTTAAACACAATATTATGTGTCAGATGAAGAGACTGGACACTACATATGCATATGCTTTTACTTTATTCCATGTAATAAAGTCAAAGCAAGATGGGGACTTATGATTATAACATAGAAGGTTTTTAAGGCTTTTTTATTTTTGAACTATTTTAAGAACCCAATTCCCTGACAGCAACACAATTCAGATAAGCATTCACATCAGTACTTGATGCAATGCTCTCTGGTACTTCTCCAGACTATTACTATGTATTACTTCATACATGGGACTTAATTAAAAAAAAAAATCCTAAAAGAAATATCAGCCAGTTTTAGCTATTAAATGTCAAATTAGTTAACCACTGCACCTTCAGCAGAGAGACTGTGAAGCTCTACCAACTTTAACCGTGTACATGTTTATTTCTCAAATTGCAACACATAGCTGCACACAAAACACTGATAAGTGTATGTGCCTATGACTCTCAGTACTTGAATGGCTAACGCACAGAAGAACTGAGGCTACAATTGGGTTCAGAACAAGAGATCAAAGATTTCAGATCAAGGAAACTCAAGTATATGTACTTCAGATCAGACAATGTTGCTTTCAAAGAGCAAAACTGGTGAGGTAACTAAACTGTCAGTTCAATCTAGACAGACTAAGCTCTCTACCCACCCCAGCCACTCATTGTTTGGTTTTTTTTTTATTTAAGCATATTATTCATTTTTGTATTTCCACCTCAATATTAAAGTTGTCAATCAAATTTCCTATAAACTTAAAGCAGATATTTGTACAGAAATGCCTCAGGGCTTCAGGTCTGAGCAGAACATCATTTATTCTAACCGCATTTTTTAGCAGAAGCATTTTCATTGGTCTTTTCTACTGCAGTCACCATTAGTCTCACTAAAGCACTTGATGATGATTATAAAATCATGAACAGTGCATCACACTTGCAAAGTACTGACTGTTTTGTTGGACACCTTGCAGAAAAGCTTCTCACGGAAACCAGAAGAGTAGGAGAATCTTGTTAGCTTTTCCTATGAAACATGTTTTTAAAAGCATGCTAGCTAAGGTAGGTGCTAAAGCAACTCTGTTAATCTCACCTGTTTGGACTTCCAGACCTCAAGAACTGGCATTCCAGCTATGATAGAGTTTGGATCTTCCTGAGCTGCTGAATTAACTGTATCATTTGCACCAATTACAAGGACCAAGTCAGTTTCTGCAGGAAGACAAAGAAAATAAAACTGATGAAAAATTCTCTGAAAGCTGAACACTGAGGCTGATGTACATTTTTGTGTTAAATCTGTTCTTCAGAGGCAGAAGAACCTCTTATGGTAAGCATTCTACAAACATTTATGGGGACTTCATACACAAATATTTTACAAATTTATCAGGCAAGTTATATGTGAGAGTCCATGTGTGCTACCAACTGTCTCTGGCAAACTGCAAGCATCTACAACCCCCTACCAAGGGACTCGTTAGACCACTCTACCAACAAAAGTTAAATCCTTCCGTATTTAAATGTGGTTTCATACACACATAGTATCACCAACTTCAAATTTCTTTGTGCCTGGCTTTTCCTTTGAATATTCTTTCAAAAAACCTTTTACCAGCAACTTTCTGATTTAATAAAGATGTAAGAAAGCAAAAAGTTGTCTGCACAATGCTACACTGGTTTGCAAGACATGTTAGAGTCAAGTCATCCACAACACCTGACCTAAAGAAATAACAGTAGTTTTCCTGTATGGAGCAGTAACAACGATAAAAAAGACACAGCATTTGTCATCTATTTCGCAGCTATAAGCAATTAAAAAACAAATGTTCTCTTGGATCTGGAGGAAACACGTTTCACAGGCTTATTTAACCTCCCTCCAAATATCTACTCTTTTCTTTACTCCTGCATTCAGTATTTCCCTTTGCTTCATCTGCCTGTACTCTCTGCTTCTCAGTTTTCTGCTTCTGAGTCAGGCTATTTCTTGTATTCCTCTGTGCTCCCTTGCCATCAGCTGGGAGAGTACTCAGATTGCAAGAGAAAGACCTCTGCTCTTCCACAGTGGTATCACAACAGGCACAAAGAGAAACTGAAAGGCCTAACCGAAATTTTATATTTTTAAAATCCTTGTGTGATATAAAAACAGAATGAAATAAAAATTGACAAGATCAAATCCAATCTACTGGAAACTTATAGCTCGCGTGCTAACCTGGGAAGTCTTCATTGATCTCATCCATTTCCAGTACAATATCATAGGGAACACCAGCTTCTGCTAGGAGTACATTCAGCTGACCAGGCATACGGCCAGCCACAGGGTGAATACCAAACCTAACAGGAAAAATTCCAAGTCCATTAATAAGTACTGACTACTCTGTTTTATATAACAAAATTGCCACCTGTGACCTACAAAGCTGAGAAGTTTAAGCACACATACGAATTAATAAAAAGAAACAGTTAAATCTTAACAATATTGTAAGTACTTTTCCAGTGTCGCAGGTAACTGAGTGGGTGGGAAAGGGAACAAGGCCCATAGATTTGACTCTTCACCTGGAGAGCAGCTGTTCCTTTTTTGGAAAGTTAAAAGTATGACTGATGCAACAGGTATGCAAAAGAATATGCTCAATTCCCAGTAAAACTAAACAAAAACTAGGAGTACATTTTCAATCCCTCCATCGTAAGAAAACTCTTTCAGAATGTCGTTGCACCTGCAAAGCAGCTTTGGAGAGCCTACTGCAATAAAAATGGCAAGGATGCTTCTAGTGACAACGTGGAAGGAACTAGTAGCCAGAAATGCCTGAAAACACATCACTGCAGGATGGACCAACAGAGTAAATTTTCCCCCCAGCAAAGCTTATACCAACAAGCTCAGTGGGTTTTCTTCAATGACTTTTTAAAGTAATAGGACTATTTTACCATTTTGTCTGGCTACAATCATCAGCCTGAGCCACATCACACACAGCAAGCATTTGTGTCCACCTTCCAAGCAGTACCATATTTAAAACCTTGTGACAGATATCTTTGGTTTTTTATGAATAAGTCTTTTTGCTGCAAAACCACCACCCACAGTAATATGCTTTGCAGGTCCCTTACATCATTGAAAAGTGAAAGCACCACAGAGTAAATGAACTGGCAACAATCTAATACTCTTCATGAAAAGGCCAAAAGACTGGGCAGCCTTCCTGAAGCAAAACTACTCCTAGACCTAGAAATGCCCTTGGCAAATGACCTTATTGACTTAAGTATCTCTAGAGTATGGATGGTTATCAGAGTCTAACACTCCAACAGAAAAATTAGTAGGAACTCTACTTCAAGCACAAGACAATGCTTTGCTGAATTAGGTTAACATGCCTCTTTCTTCTCATGATTTATCTTGGGGCAGGGCAGGGGGAGAAGGGGGAGTGAGAAGGTGGAGAGCTAAGAAGCTATACCAGTTTAAGCATAACAATTTAAGAAATGTTTTCAGAACAGCTCAAAGCCAACTTAGAGAAAATACATTGCTTATGAGTTACTAAAAATTCAGACACGCACAGGGTGGCGGTGGGGGGTGTTAAGGCATGCATGCAGTTCTGTAAGAGTAAAAACCTGACGAAATTCAGAATGGAGATGTTAAACTGGTTTGGGTACAACTCCCAAAGACATTTTTTGGTTAGACGCAAATCTATTTCTTGTCGGCAGGTTGTACTTTTATGCTCATGTACTGGCCCTGAATAAACTAGGCAGATGAATGTCTGCTTTCCTGTGCATTTTCTATCCTTCCAGCTCTGGAGCTATGACTAAATGTAATGCTGACTCAAGCACACCAGAAATGCCTCAGATGAATGCTGTATATAGCTGTAGTTAAATGTTTAATAAGGAAGCCTAGATGTACTTTGGAAGACACAGAAAATACCCAAGACAAAACTGTACATTCTTGGATTTCTGCACAGAAATTTCTGAGCAGAAATCCAAGTGAGTCAGGAATACAATAAAAGGACTTCAGACTTCTTCAGAAAGGAGGGAAAGACTGATAAATCAACTTGCCATGACATAGGGATTGTCACATATTTTTATTTTCAACTCCACTGCAATGGAAGTGGATAACACATCACTGATGTTCCACAAGTCACAGTCCAATCAGTAGAGATCACTTGAGAATTTAACACTGTACAAATACATCCTTAAAAGGGCAACTGAACACTCCATCAGCAAAACAACATTAAGACAATGCAAAGATGAGACAATTGGAACTCCAGAAACAAAATTAAGGACATATGATTAATCCACATAATACTAGATATACCACAATTTTAAGCTCTAGGTCAAACAGCAGGATAAAAGTTAGCTTTAAAAGGAATGCTTTTAAAGAAACAAAGAGAATAGATTGTATTCAGCTAGTAAACATTTGGGATCCTGTTGCAAAGGACAATACCTAGAATCAGAAAAAGGAGAGTAAATATACAAGACAAAACATTAACAGCTTACGTGTCACACCACTCACTCAGTAATACAAGCCATGTGTAGTACTGCAGCTGGTCCTAAAGTGTACCAAATTCAATCACTTACAGTACAGTAGGAAAACTCTTATTCTGAAGTACACTTGAGAAAACCCATCACTCCTCTGGCAGTGAAAATAGATTTTCCAACAAAATTCTCTTTTGTTTCTAATAAAATTAGTTGAGCGCCTTTGTGACCAAAGCTGCTTTGGCAATACACAAAACAAAATACTCGTGAGGTTTCTATTAAATACTATATATACATACAATCTTATTTCAAGGGCTGGAAAGCCAAACTTTCAAGCTGCCAAGAGAACAAATTTCACCTTTGACTTCACTATTCCTGGCAAGAGGCAAAGAAAGAAGAAAAGTAAGGGACACATCATCTTCGTTCAGGAAGAGTTATGGCATCAACCATCAGTAGTTAAGAGACTTCTGACAGACTCCGCTTGAAACCACATACTGTGTACTCACAAAGTTTGAGCAAGCTGCTCATACAAAAGCTTTTTGGAAAAACATTGAAGTGACTCCCAGAAGTCTGTTTCTAAGAGCCTGTTAACCGAATATGACAGTAATGTGCCAGTACATCTTAGAACTGGATGTGCAAGTGTGTCAAAAAGAAGAATTAAAAATACGTGCTTCTCTAAGGCTTTCATTATTTCACAAGAGAAGATCTACTTATATCTGGAGTGAAATTAGCACGTCCAATTGAAAGCAGAATTCAGGTAAGCAAGGAAAAGAGATAAGCTAAAATCCTTAACGGCTCACAAAACGTCTAATAAAAGCTGTGTATCTTGCTCCTGACTCACAACAGCAGCAGCTCTCCAAAGCTATATGCGTTACTGCAGAAATATTTTGTCACATGTGCTCTCCTAGATGTTCAAAATGTGAACCTCACTCATATTCAAAAATTCAAAACATGAATGACTTTAGAAGAGAGACATGTTTTATGGTAAAAGTGTTTTAAAATGAAAAATTGCTAAGTTTCTTTGATATGCTTTTAATATCAGTTATGCAAGAGCTCCCTTAGGTTGGCTGGTTCGTTTTTTAAATCAAATAAAAATCTCACACTCTTTTTGACTTTCTCTTTACACAACATTAAGTTTTCAGTCTACATATACCTTACACATAACAAAGATTCACAATCACGCTGTGTCTGACTTGAACGTTATTCTGGTAGTCCACTGAAACACAGAATTCACCAGGAATTCTTTTTCTCTTGACCCTGACGGTGTAACATGGAGCTTGCTTATCACCTCCAACTGTCAGATACACTGACGTGAGCATACGCCTCCTTGAACAGCATGAGTACCAGACAAGGCTATTCAGCCTTTTTAACCATCCTCTTTGGATACTTTTTAGCTTTAGAAAGACAACAAAGCACACTGAAAAAAAGAGTTCCTATTTTGAATCTTTTCTTGTAATACAAGTGCAACATTTTCTTTTAAATTTAGACTAAAAATCTAAAACTCCTGACATACATGTCATATCTAGGGCAGCACTTTCAGCACAAAAAGCATTTGAATTTGGGAGGGGAAAAAAGTTACTTAAAAGTAGTATGAAGTTAATTATAGTATTATGAACAAGACAGCCATTGCATGAAAAACTATTTGGAAAAAAATCACAGAATGGAAATTACTTTTCATACAGTTCATAAAGTCAGCATCTATCCTTATTACAACGGGCTAGATAACATTCTTGTAATCCATACTGAAAGAACTAGCACCTACCTAACCCACTGAAGAACTGTTTCAAGATCACTTCATCCTTGTAAAGATAGGATTCCTGTCATTATGCCAAAACTGGACAGAGTGATGTAAGTAAGTAACATCTGGCTGGTGCCTAATTTAGCTTACTCAACACTTCAGAAGCTGTATATACAGAGAATAATTTGCCCAACGCTTTTGCCTCACTTTGTCTTCCACGCACTTATTCACTTTATTTGTGTTTTGTCACCTCTCCATCTCTGTTTTCAGTACAGACAATAACTTGTTATTCAACAGGTAACAGGAAGGGAAAAAAAAAACCACCTAGGTGAACTGAGAAGTGCATCATTCAGATATTCCACAGCTTGAATCCTGCAATATAACAACAGTTGCAGCATAGCATGACTTGTAAGTATCAGAGTATAATGCTTTCATCACACATTACAGATGACTATGTAGATTACTAGCATCAAAGCCAGCTTAGTGAGCTTAGGCCTGGTGTCATGGCTGAGGCAACAACATGTCCCCAGAAACAGTACTTCAGCATGGACTAAGCTCAGTGGCTCTGCTGGGGTCAGGTCAGTTAAATTTAAACTGAATTAAATTAGTTAAGTTAAGCATACTTAGTGAGGGTTGGTACTGGCTCCCTATTTCCAACCACTATGGTTTATCACAGCAGGGGCAAGATCCAAATACATGGCATGGACCTCAATGCAATAACCCTCCCAAGAACCCAACTGCAGGGAAGAAAGAAGAGCCTGCCTCCACAAAGCATCACAAACTGACCTAGTAAGGTCACCCGGAGCTGAGCTCATCATGTATGGAACATAACTATAATACACACACCAGGAGCATACAGCTATAGCTGCATCCTTGCAGAAGCAGATCAGGTACAGCAAGGTTTGCTAGTTCTCTCTAGCTACACCAATACAGCACTTGAGCTAACAGATCTGTTGGACTCCATTTGTCCCTTCATCTGCAGCATTAATAATTCAGAACCCACCCAGTTAATTTGACTACAAGAAACAAACTGAGAACTGACACACATGTACACATTCAGTGTCCTCCTAGTAAGCATACTGCAGCTTCCTAAAAACTTGCATCAATGTATGTTGCTCTTATGCTGTCATTCAGCAGTGACAGTAATCTCCATCTTATGCACACCTGAGCTATGTAATATGTTACGATTGGTTGGAACAGCATCTTAACAGCTCATCCTTCAAAATTCTTCTAGATTTTCTTGTAGAGTAACGAAGAACGATGACTGTAAATTGATATAATTAAATGATGGAAGTTAATAATTTTATTTATTAAGCTGTAGATAAGTGTGTAAGTGGTACCCACCCACATGTTCTGTTACTCACAAGTAATTAGAGCAATGGTGAAAAAAAAAATGGAACCCTAAACACATTTGATAAGAGCTAAGCCATAAAGGTAACAATAAAAATCTGAAGAAGCAGGTCCAACACTAAATCTATGCTATCACATTTTCAAAAATGTAAGAAACCCGGGTTTCAATGTGCTCAAAAGTAATTAGATTCTCCAGCATCAGAAGCTGCCCAGGGAAGTGGCTGAGTCTCCAGCCCTGGAGGTATTTAAAAGAAGGGCAGACGTGGTGCTCGAGGACATGGTTTAGTGGTGGACTTGGCAGTGACAGGTTAACGGTTGGACTCAAGGGTCTTTTCCAACCTTAACGATTCTATGATTCTATGACAAAAATCCGAGTCCTTCAATATGTCCACCTATAAAAATAAGGTTAAAAAAAAAAAAGCAAACGAAACACTAACATGTTAGCAACTAATTTGAAAGGCTGTTAAAGAGGTAAGCTACATTTCTTTCAACTATGAGAGTTACCAGAAAACCACCATATTTAATTATGAGTTGTATTTAGAAACTCTATACAAAGAACAATTTTTTCTCATCAAGAATTTCTGACTATGCACAAAACCAAAACACATTGATAGAAACAGTCTTAGGGAAGTCATACTGTGGCAAAAGCTAAGATAGTTAACTTGATGTGGACATGGACAGCATCAACTACCCATGCACATATGAGAATGTACACACTTTTAAACTGTACTATAATACTATGGAATAATTATATATCTATATATAGAATACTACAGAATATAATTTAATTACATAGAAGAAATCAGAATTTCACAACTAGGGGTCTACAAACAACACAGCATGTGGCTGAAGAACTTTGGTAAGGCGAGACCTTTCAACAATTCACTCAGTTGTAACTTTGCAGAAATACATCACCAGTTGTAGAACAAACATTTCTTCTCCAAGGCCAATGGATTCTGGGGACTACAGGATTTAGCCTAGGAAAAGTTTTGGTTTTTTACCCATCCATGACAAGGGAAAGCTATAATGAAGGCTCAGCAATATCCAGCTTTTTATGTGATCGTACTAATGCATTAAAGATGTGATCCGCTGCAAGACCATCTCAAGTAAGCGATGATGTTATCTATGCAATTTAATAACTAAAACAGTCTGAAGTTTCCAGACTCTCCCATATTTCTAAATTTAAACCTTAGTCAAAGGTTATGCATCATGTTATATAATCTGCGCTCTTCACTGAGAATGTTATGGCTATAGGCAAAGTAAATGAAAACAACAGCTTCTCCGGATCAATTGTGAGCCATGAAGCAAAAAAAGACCATATGACAGGCACAATTTTTCTTGGCACGGTATGGGCATTGCAAATTGATGACAATCATATGTCCATGCTGGCATCCCTCCACAGCGGATGTGTGAGAGTGTCACTACATCTGGATGGAGAGCACACAGGGTCCCGAGGCACTCCAGGCCTACTGAAACCAGAGGGACAGCAGCTGCACTCAATGAACACCGTGGGAGCTCCACAAAGTGATGAAAGGCCTGAATTACCACAAACTGTAAATACAGATTTATTTCATTAAAATACTAGGTAACCACTGCAGTGATCCCTTCCTGAAATTGACTAATTTCAAGTATAAGCCAGTTATTTCAAGGATTCATTCACATTTCTCCCCTGCAAAGCCAACGTAAAAGGCAAAACCAATAATCTTTTGTATCACCAACGCTGATAAAAACTAAAGCTCATCCCCACAGAAGCACTGGAAGGAAAGCCAAAAGCACGCAACACTCATCACATTAGCCCAGAAAGGTTCTTTTGTTGCACAGCTAATGGGTCTTCAAAATTTTTAGAGGCAAGGTAGACTCTGGATTTTTAACCTAAGAAGGGCATCTAACATTATAGTGCTGTTAATTGTTTTCAGCATTGTTTCAAACATGCCGATCAGAATTGGATGTTACTATCCATATTTATTTTACGTACAAACATTCCTGTGTAGTAGTAAGCATTACTTCTATTAATGCAAGTCAGTTATCCCAGGAAAGAAATAAGTCCTGTGTTGTTTGTGCAGAGGCTGCTACCTGATCTAGTCTTTCACTTCATACCAGACTGATACCAGCAAACACTTCTCCATACTGCAGGAGGCTCTCTTTTCCTGCCTAGGAGCCTCAACTATTCCCATTGCTCCCCTTTAACTATTCCCCAACAGTTCTACAAGCAGAGAGGTCCATTTCCTTAGCAAATTAAGACTTAAAAAATATGAAATATTAAAGCTATTTAGACTAGTAAACAATCACCCTTAATGGAGGTTTCTCTAGGAGGCAATTCAAAGCACTTCAGTTAGGCCCATGCTCTGTCCCCATTGACTACAAGCACAAAGAAAAACTATTCTCCCTGCTTTCCCTGCACCAAAGCCAGCTATTGCAATTACTCCTCACAGTAACATGTTTCCACAAAGTGGCTGCTTTCACAGAACTCTCCAACCTCCACCTTTAGAAAAGGCTGCTAACTGTTCTCTTGAAGACAATACAAAAAACTACATTAAAGTTTTTATTTTTCAAAAAATTTCACTGCTTGTTTTGTTGAAAACTACTACTATATCTAAAGGCAGAGCATATGTATCTAAAGAAGCTAACTTACTTTTCAAAAAAATAAGATTTTGTTGCTACAATAAAGAAGTATTAAATTTTAAAGCCATTCTTTTTAACTGAACTTCAGCATGACACCAAACAAAACAAAACCAAACAAAACAACAACAAAATTATTCTCCAACTGCTGAGGCTACTTCCAAAAATCAAATGTAATAAGAGTGTAAGGGAGTAAGGATCTTAATTCCCCAAAAGCAGTAAAAGGTAGAAATATCTTTTACACTAAAGCATGAAATCTCTTGATATTCAGCTATAGCTTAGTAAAACCAGAGCATTCCTCCAGCTCGTATTTCTGAGAGAAAGGTCAGCATAATAATGACTGCTGAAAGAAAAATAAAACAAAAACACAGACTTTTAGGGGATTTTCAAGGAATGAAAAAACAAACAAACAAACCAACCTGTAATACTTTTGATCAAGGAGAGTACTTACCTGACGTTTTTCCCTTGTTCTCTCAACATCTTCACCAGATCAGCTATGGGGTACTGAGCTTTTGCTGCACACAAACCATAACCTGAAAGAATTTCCAAATTTTAAGCTATTTTTCTGTTTCAGTGCAGACAGAATAGTTACAGACAATAAGTGTACTTTCCACACAAACAGAAGTTCTAATAATTAAAAATATATATCTATATATGAAAAATATATATAGATAAATATATAATATAGATATATATTTATTATATATATTTATCTATATCTCAGATACTCATATATTCCCAGGGGAGTTTCAGCCTGACCACTGTAATTCACCTTATCTTTTTGGTCTCCTGACCCCTAACAGTGTAGTGGTTTGACCAGTCAAACTACAGAAGTAACTTATTTCAGCTTCACAAAAACACGTGTTCTTTTCTCTATCAGAAAAGGATGTTTCACACAGGTACACTGAAAAGTTGATAAAGAGGCTACTATCAGGTTACTTCACCTCAACAAAATTTTGGATTTGCGTAATGCAAATCTAGTAGTTGAATATGGCTTTTAGCAGCAAATGATCTTTTCAGTCTATGTCAATTAATTCATCAGAACGATAATGCCCAGGAAGAAAATGCAGAGTATAAATTATTAACGGTGTCCTGAAGGTTTGACCACAGGCACAAGAGGTAAACTCCTTCAAGATGTTTGCAACGTTTGTTGGAAACAAAGGTAACTTCCCAAATTAGAACCCTACCTCACTGATGTTTTCATTTAAGCTGAAGCAAAATGAAAGATGACTTTGTTTTTTAGCATTCTTCTCATTCCAATGCTAAAATAAATTCAACACAATATTTGTGCCATTTAGTTGAAGGAAAACAAGTTTTGAGCTATTCCCTACCTGGCCTCTCCTAACAGGAAATGTGCTATTGAACCACTTGAGCCTACAGCCAAAATAATAGTTTCAGACAACTCAGGGTTTTAGTTTTCAGGGGTTTTTCTACTTTAATTCCAGTATTTATTGTATACTAACTAAGTTTTAGATGTTTTTCTGCCTTTTTTTAATAAAACAATGCAGAATTGAGCAAGTAGATGAGAAGCATAAACAAAATCCTGTCTTTCAGTAACTTAACCGATATTTTGTTATTGGTACCACTGGTACTGTGGTAGTGCTTAGAAACTCACACCACAACAGCTGTACACAAAATTAACTGTAAACATAATTTGCAAGAGACAGTCTTTGTCCTGAAGAATTTAAACCCTAAATAAATAGGACAACATTTGAAAAGACACACACAAGGAAAAATAAAGTGGCATACACATGTCTATACAGAGGAATGATGACTGACCTGGGAACAAAAACAAATCCCACAGACCCAGTCAACATTTGACATGCTGCTGCTACGTTGCAACTGCAAGACAGGCTACAGTTTTTTGCTTTGTTTTGGGTTTTTGTTTGGTTGGTTGTTGTTTTTTGTTTTGTTTTTTTTTAAAATAACACATCCTCTGAACATCTTGCTGTATGAGTCAAGAGTGTCTTACCTGGAGTAATAATGATATTATTGGCTTCCTTTATCATTTCAATTGCATTGTCCACATTGATTTCTGTGTGGGTTCCAGTAATTTCCATGGGCTTCCCACCAGCTGTTGACGTGGTGCCATAGCCCCCTAGAATCACATTTGCAAGGGAACGGTTCATAGCCTGAAAGATAAGAGGGTTTTGATCAGCTAAAGATGAAATCCAAAAATAAAGGAGAGGCAATGTCCACAAAGAAAACTTCTGAAAATACTAAAGCCTTCCTGACAATAGTCTTTATCTGCTGGTTTTGCCTGCATACAACTTGAAACTTCTTAAAACAGGCTCCTTAGAACAGAGACCAAGATTAACACAACAATAGCCAAACATCAGCTTTTAACACATTACATTACACACATAATGAGAGAGCATCAGCATTTCCCCAAGACAAAGAACAAAACAACACAAGTAGCAAATATTGGTCTCTTTCTGTTCTTAAAAGGGAGGGATATAAAAGAATGCATATTTGGTGACAGTTTCAGGTTTTGGGGTTTTTTTTTGTTTGGGGTTTTTTTGGTTGTTTTGGTTTTTTTTTTACATAGATATATATACACAGACACATAATTTTTGCAACATATTTTCTTCAGTTCTTGAGCAATTCAACATGTAAGGACAGAACTGCTATACCACAGCATGGAAACCACGTAGCTTTTACAGGTAGTACAGAAGCAAAGCTCCTACAGCATCAAGACAGGGAAGAACACAACAAAGCTACGTAGCCACACAAAACTAAACAAATGCTAACTCAAAACAAATTGTAATGAACTGAAGGGGGCCATTAACTTACTGGCTGAGCACCAAAGGGGAACAAGAGATCTTAAACTAGAAGCTTTAAGAGGAGAACACATCCTGAAAATTTGGCTCCATATATAGCCAGGAAAAACCACTGGCTAAATGCTTTCACTGGCATGTCTTGTTGTGAGTGTGGTCCCAAAGCAGTATCTGGCAATATCTGGAAGTAGGCAAAACTTGTAATTGTAGTAAACAAAACTTCAGAAGCAGGAAAGGAACAGGATAAATTGCTTCTTTAATTAAACACGTGTGTCATACATCTGCTGTGCTAGCTCAGAAACCATAGCAAAATTTAAGAATGGATCTGGAGAGGCACACATACAAGGCAAGAGGAAACACCCACACAAAAGTATGCTTCCAAGTGACCATTTTCTACTGACATTTCAAATCATGCAACTCCACAGGTTTTCTGCTATAGCCTGAGAAGATATGCCATTCTGTGAAATTCATCATCTAGCAAATAAGCACAACAAAGATATTAGAAGAACTTTTGTTTATCCTGATAAATCATCACTGTTTCAGATACTATAAGGATGGTGCACAAATGCAGTGAAATCTTTCTACTGTCTGCAGTAGGCAGTAGTTCATAACCTCTAAGGACACACTGCCTTTGATGTGTATCACAATATTAAACCATCAAACACAAAACCAGACCACTTAATATATTACAGCAGTTAGGTGTCAGGTAAGACAGCCTAGACAGAACAATACCCTCTTAGATGTTTGTGCACACTAAGCTTAGAAGCAGCAAAGCACTTTCTACACATATCTAAACCAAAAAGACAGCAGTAAGACCAGGCCAAAGGAAAAAAAAAAAGTTTAAATATTATCAGAAATCTGAGAATCCACACAAAGCAAGCATGAGACTGAAGCACCCTTGCCTGGCTCTGCACCAACCAAAGAGCCGAGGAAAGAGGATGGCAGTCTGGCAAAAAAGGGGGTAGTACAAAAGGCTTCAAAATGAGCCAAGACCTCAAACAACAATTAACCAATGCAGCTAAGATCTACTCAGCACAGGGGCGCTGTGGAAACTCTTCTATAGCCTCTTTCACCTTCTTTACCATCACAGACCACAAACATACATGAATAGAGTACAGGCTTCACCATTCACAGATAACCCAACCACCAGCAAAAAGCCCTCTATGCTGTGCATACACAGGTGATACTGGCCAGGAGCTTACAGCCCAAGGAAAACCAAACCCTTGATCCCTGAGAACTTCAAGTCCTTCCACTGTGCCCACAGAAACTACACAGCTAGTACAGGTGATGGGCCAGCATACAATTCATAAGACTAACACAATTTGTTCCTTCTCTTGCTCTGTTTCATCACCAATTAATGGTTCCTCTTCCACCCGAAGGATTTTCCCCATCCCTAAGCATACTGATTCTACTATTACAGTTGCAATCATCAAGTATTCACTCGGGGGG